ATTCCGTGTTCTGTTCATATTATGGAATCATTTTATTTCACTTTCTTGCCAGCTATTGTAGCTATCCTAGGTCCCTGCAGATGCACTCCTAATTCTATCTTTCCTAGTCCTAGGCATCCATCGCAACATTATTTTTTGCTAGTAAAATGAAAATTTTATTGAAAAAAAGTAAAAGAAAGGTGACAAGAAGTCATCTGAGAGAAGAAACATCTCTTCACACAACCAATACCCAACTTCAAATCAACGTCAGCACCGGCCACAAGGAACCACTCCAAAAAGCAGGGCACTAAACCATAAGAAAAATAAAAGACACACAGCCAAACCAAACAAACATCTCAAGCTGCCAAAAGTCCTAACAATTCCAACCTAAATTGACAATCCACAGAAACACCACAGCAACCCACTTACCAAATCCCCTACAATCATTTAAAACTCCCAACACATAAACACTGGATTCAAACTTGATACCACCCAAAACGTTACTCAACTAACGTCTTATTCAGTGTTTTGAGTGGGGACCTCTTGCTTCTTTTAAGAACTTAGTTTTTTTTTTTCACCTTTTTAATAGGATCAACTTCAAATGATCCCTTTTTCAACCCTGTGAACACCTTCAAAACCTGGATAGCTTGATGATTTTTCTAACTTTTAAATTGTTAAGAACATTTTGTTTCTTGGTTTCCTAACATTGTGCTTCATACAAATATAGAGAATGATTCTCCATAGGGTTTTAGCCACAAATACAGCCAAAAATAAAACACTGTGCAAATAATCATCAGAGACTAATTTTCAGATACTATGATATCCAATGTCTCCCATAACCTAGCCCCAATGCATTCTCCAGAAAAATCTTCAAATTCCTGGTGTGCCCTATTCCTGTAATGAAAGAATTTTATTGCTACGTGCTCCTCAAGTATTAAGCAAATATCATCTACTAATTCTCTTACTTGCTGAGATTTTCCTTCAAAGAAACAATAGTTTTGATTCTCCATAGGGTTTTAGTCCTTCTGCCTTGATAAAAAAACATCTCATTTGGAAGATCAGCCTGAAACCTTGGGCACTTGAAAAGTGATGATATCTTAAATGAATTCAACACCCTTATAAAGGGAAATTTATGATGCCGGAAAGACATGATACCGGTAGAGCTTTGGCCAAGCTCCGCTGTGAATTTTGATGAATACCACCTGATTGGTTACCACTTATATGATACCGTTTGATTGGTTAAAGGTTTTTCTGGTGTCATAGTTTAACCCTGCAATGAATAATTAGATGACAAATATTTCTTAAAACCTTCTGTACATGCTGGTCATCTGAAAGCCCCTCAACTTAGGATGATCAGTAGTTAAAATACTGTGTAGAGACAACAACCATGCAAATGCATCAACCCTAGTAGGAATTGCATAATCCATACCCCTGGTATAGGTTCCCCTACCTTTCCCTTCCTTTCCCTATCTTTTCTTTAGAGAGAACTTGCCATCTGCACACACTTTCCACCACCTAGCATCCCTAAGCAAAGAATGCACTCCTCTAATTCCCTATCTAGCAATGGTTGATGAAAAATTTAGACACCACACAATATTGTCTCTCCTTCCTTTTTCTTGCATATTTTAACCATCCCAAAGTGGAATTGGAGCTGATCTAGGAACCTTATGGGTTCAACACAGACCGAAATTTCCTGGTTCTATGCCCTCGATTTGATTGAATATGGTCTCAATTACAATTAAACTAGGAATTGGGAGAAACCATAGTCCTGTTCAATCTCTACTGCTTGGGATGTTATTGTTGAGTAGAATATGGGGCTTCTCTTTTCTCTAGGTAAGGTCTGTAAGGATTCTATTGATTAGATCAATTGAGGCTTTAACTAACCCATTGAGGTTCGCATCTGAATTAAGTGAAATCCTAGTTCCTAACAGTAGGAATTCTAATTCAACTCCCAGAGCTTTGAGAGTGATCTGGACAAAGGGGCAACTGATTAGAAGCGAAGAAGGGTTGTGGAAACTACTGCTTGGCTTGACTGAGGGATACAGTAGGATTTTGGGTGTGAACACCATAGAGTGCTTCTGGATTTGTGGAATCTGCATGCCTGCATCTCACAGGTATAACTTTGTTTTTGTAAATCAATTGATCAAATTCTTAAAGGGTTTTTAGTAGGAGTTATTTCTGTGCAAGGGAGACATCTCTTGGAGAGAGATGGATCCTTTGGACAGATAAAGTTTTATGAAAATTTTGGATCTTCCCAGTTTAATCTCCAAACTCCCTTTCACTGATTTCACTTATAAATGTTTTTTCCATAGTTTCTAGAAAGCCTTCTGACTTCCGATCCCAGATAGGAGATGCCATACTTTCTATGATTCATCTTATAGACCATTCAGCTTCTCCTCTAGTCTCCATATTCATTCATCTAGCAGTTTTTCATTCTTGGTATTACATCAGATCCCTAGTTTCTGATTATAGATTTTCTGACCATTCTCTGTTATAGTAAATTCAATACGTGTTGGTACATGGATATGATGGTGCTGGGGGGACTTTTAGCTATTCAGTTGCCTTGTGGGCTGAAGGCAACTGAGTTGTGGGCAAGTCAATATTACATAAGCTGCAAAATTCTCTGATTAGTGTATTATATGATGCACTTTTTCCGTTAGGGAAAATAGGATTTTTTTTTATTTCTTTTTGAAGGGCTACACAACGGGGGGTAGCCCATTCCCTAACCTATGTGTAGGCTAGGGGTTGATTCAAGCCAAGCTGAGCCGAATAGTACAAGGCTCGAGCTCGGCTCGTCAAGGTAGTACAAGGCTCAAGCTCGCACTTGGCTCGACCCTAGTGTAGGCGATTCGATCCCAAGTTTTCGCTACGACTAGCAAGAGACCTTACCAACCAGCTGGTTGGCACCTTGCGGGAAAATAGGATTTATTGAATTAGCAGTAACCTTATCTAATAGATTTGAGTAAAATAAGATGAATCTTAGTTGGACTTACTAGCGGGGACCTGTGCGATGCACAAGCTTTGTTAAGTGGAAGCTAAGCAATAGAAACACATAAGAGTATAAAATCATTTTTTTATTTTAATTTTTTAAATAATTAATAATTATTTATATTTTATATACTACTTTTAATAATTTTTACAATAAAATAACAATAATTAATTTCAGCTAGGGTTGTACATCAAATCAATGAAACTGACCAACCCGACCCAACTCAACCCGGGTTGGCCAGTTTTCACTAATTGTCAGTCAGTTTCGGGTGACCAACTCCCCAACCTGACCAGGTTGATTTGGTTGGCCAAAAAGCCTACAACCGAACCGAACTAACTTGTGAACTCTCCCAATTTTAGCTAAATTAATAGTTTAATTTCTAATAAATAACTATAGTTTATTCTCCAATAATTATTGAAAATTTATAGCGGAAATTCACAATTATTGAAAATAAATTTATAATGAAAATACAACAAATAACTAATATAAATACAGTAATTACAATAATTAAAAAATACAATAAATACTGAAAATACAACAAATCATAATTACTAAATACAATAAATAATAACAAAAATACATAATTACTAAAAATAAGTCTATAAAAAAATACAATAAATACAATATGTAGAGTAAATTAAATTTAAAAAGCTAAATAAGAGCAGTTTAATCTCTAATAATTATTGAAAAATTTCTGTTAAATAACAAAACAAAAATAGTTTTTTGACATAATTAATGGAAATATATTTATCACAAAAATACAACAAATAATTACTGAAAATACAATAAAGAGTAATTTTAATGTATAGAAATATATAATAAATATAGATTAAGATGTTAAATTTATTATTAGTAAATATTAGTTTTTTGTAAAGTTATTTTCTAGACTTATTAATTGATATAAGTGAAATTAGTTATTTACGATATTATTTAGTTATTTAAATAATGTCATTATTTAAAAATTTAAAATATTAATTATAATTTATACTATTATTACATAATTTCCTTATTAATTTTTAAAATATTAAATTATTCTAAATTTGATTATTATGAAATCTATTATAATTGTTTTTCTACTTTTAAGAAAATTTTTAAATTTATTACATGATTTCGTTATTTTTTAATTATTTAAAATTTACTTATGTTAAATATTTCATTTATTAAAATATTTAAATAATATGTAAAATATTTAAAAATTTTCCTTATTTGAGTTTTATTTATTTTAAAGTTATTAGGTATTATTAAATATTTTGTTATATAATTGTTTAGCTATTTTTAATATTTTTGTTATTTAAGATATTTAGTTATTGAAACATTTAAATAATATGTTATTTTTTATTTTTAGATTCTTATTATTTGAATAACATTTAAATTGAATAATCCGTTAAATTATAATTTATATTAGTAGTACATAATTTCATAATGAATTTTGTATAAATATGAAGTTGCTAATAATATTATATTTTTAAATCTATTATAACTACTTTTTGTGTTTTTAATAAAAAATTTTAAATATTTAAATAATTCTTAAGTTTTTTAGTTCAAAGTTTCTTTAGATAGGTATAGATAAAAAGTGGGGGAGAGCATAAATAGGAAATAGAGATAATTTAGGAGATAAATGGGAATTAGAGAGAGCTTAGGAAAAATGGGGCATAGTAGTGCCACATGGCTAGACAATAGAAAAGCAAATCCCTCTTTCTTTCCTATTGGTTGCTAGAAAGGAAATTATTTAGGTGGGGGAGGTAGTTTAGGAGAAATTTTAGGAGAGGAGATTATTTAGGTTATTGGGAACGTGTATGAGATTTTTGGTAGATTTTTATGGAGAAAAGAGTCTCTCATTGGTTGTTTCAAAAATGACATGGAATAAAAAATAAAATATTCAGAAAAAAGGAGAAAATTTCTAGACTTCTTCTTTTAGTGTGTGTATGCTTGTATCTGAATTTTGAGATGGACATATTGATCCTAAAATGAAATTTCCATTCATTAATTTATTCATTTTTATCTAAGTTTTATTTATTTGTGTTTTCTTCAGGAATTGAGCAGGGGTCAACACTGGCCAATGAGCTACAAGAGCAGGAAAATGTTTTGTGCCTATCTATTGAGCAACTTGAAGGTGTTGAAGCATCAAGGTCCGCATTGGTCACTCTTCTTAAAGAAGCGCTTCAGGATCAGGTTTTCAGTCTAGTTCTGACCTTGATGTTGACAATGTACATCCAAGCCACATTTTGGACCATTTGAAGTTCTTACTGTAAATGTTGTTTTCAGGAATCACAACTGGAGCTTATTCGCAATCAATTGCAAGTAAGTATAAGATAATTACAAAATGCTCTTTTTTATACTTATTTTTATAAAAATGATAATGTCATTAATTGACATTAAATATGGGCCCTCTGCTAGTACATGGTGTAATAGTGGAAATCTTTGTTTTGCCTAACCCCTGTTTCTTGTCTGAAAATTGCGGACATTGTAGCTTAAAACAATTTAACTGGCATAAAGTTGGGGTGTCTTGTTGCCTTTATAGAATTCAGTTGGAATAGTCCTTTAACACCAGCAAATCGTTAGAACTCTTTAAACAAAGTGTATCAGTTATAATATGTGAGTTCAGCTACTTTTCTTTTCTCAAGTATTATAATACATGTTTAGATGCAATTTTTTGATCAGTAACAGTGCAAATTTAATTGATTAGTATGATTTAAAGAGTACAAGAAGAGCATCGGGATTGTCAGCCTCAACTAACCATCCATAGGATCTAAGCCTCAAGTAGAATTTCCCTTGATCCATAAGTCCCCAATACAGAGTTTTGTAAGCCTGTTTTGCTAACCCATCTTCTAAGACCGTCAACAGTCCTAGGTACCCATCTTCCAATTCATTTATAGTTCCTTTAGCTTCTCTGGTTTTGTATCTGCATGTTCATGGTCCCTCTTCATTGCTTGGTAGCCAACCTGTTATGATCTTTGAATCCCCTTCCATTATTAGGTTGCTGAACCTCATTGCTTTAGCCTTCCTCAGCCTTGTGAAGACAGCCTTCAGTTCTCTATTTGAGTCACCTACACCAGTAAGACTAGAGTAGAGAAGGAATATGTTCTCCAAATGATTTCTGATCACTCGTATACCTGATGGACCCATATTTGTCAAGCAGCTGCTCTCAAATTGCAGCTTAAAATGAAATGTCTGCGGTCGGTACCAGTCCACTTGTACCATTGAGTACTGACCTACTTGGGGTAGATTTGGCAAACTCTTTCTACTTCTTATAATATCATCAGTTGTATGAGTCAAATAACTCTGAAGTTTTAACTAAAGTGTCACTTTGATGGAGATATTGTCAATGATTAACCTTGCATCACTCATTAATGATGCATTCATTTCTTTCTTCCCACACCATGTTTTAGATGCAAATTGCAAATGAGTTTTTGCATGTCTTGATTTTCATTATATGCCAATTGTAAGGTAAGAAAACATCAAATTACTTTGAGGAAAGTATAGGAACGTGCATAAGAAGTTTATTTTTATATTGGAAAAGCATATAAATGAATCAAAGTATATGCAGGGAGGGACATGACGTGATGCATTCCACTACCTTACAAGGAATGCTGCTTGCAAATTAAATGGGTGTGGAGCAACTTGTAATTGAAGGGGATTCCAAGGTGGTGGTAGAGTGGTTGAAGAACACCGAGACTGTTATTTGGTTCTATAAGAATTAAATCAAGAAATTTAAGTGGTTGACAAGAAATGTCTGTAACAATACAGTGGGTGGGGAGATCAGCAGATGCTTTGGCTAATTGTTTAGCAAAGCAAGGGGCAAATAGGGAATTTTTGTGTTGAGTTCAACTGTAATTTGCTTTTAGTCTCTATGTAACCTGTTGGGAGAGGTTCCGGCTTGTGCCTCTTCATGTGCTGTTGTTCTCAGTTTCAAGTTATGATCTAATAAAATTTCTTAATTATCAAAAAAGGAATCTTGGAAAATTGGGTATGATAGATGTATCTATTCTCAGCTTGAGGGGGAGTGGTGAAAATCTGTTTTGTAGGGGCTTTTTGGTCTTTTCATCTATTTGTATTTGGGTTCTCATGTAAGGGCTTTCTTGTAATTTCTCCTCATAGTATAAATATTTTGTATGAGGGTGTGAACAGTAATATACTCCTCTCTTTGTGACTTGCTCTCTCTTCCCCCTCTTCTTCATGGGAAATGAAAGTGACGAGGGGTTGGATTGAAGTGAGGATAAGGTTATTTTGGATGCTCATGAAGTTGGTAGTTCAATTGATTTGGAAATGGTGTTGAACAAAGACGTGGGGGTAAAAGTAAGATTTTGGGTCTTTGATTTATAAGGGGTGAGAAATATGCAAGGAAGATTTTTAGGAAACTGGAAGCAAAATATCCATTTCCTATGTAAGCTAAAAGAAATTGTTTGGAGGCTGGTGTTATTCCTGGTGATCTAGTGTTGGTTGGAGTTGGCGGCGAGGAGTTGGCAAGCCTGTTTTTTCAGGAGAATGTGGTGTTGGCAAGGTTTAAAATATTGATACGTCTGATACGTTGATAGAGGCGTATCGGTATTTTTTTTTAGGTTTTTTTTTTTCAAATCTGGTTCAGAGGGGCTGGTTTAAGGTCTGTCCACCCCCTGAACCGGCCAAAACCCCGATACACCCTCTATAGGGGTGGGGTGTATTGATACTTTGAACCTTGGGTGTTGGAACTTGAGAGGGGGATTAATGAGATTTCTGTTAATTTGAAGAGTGTCAGGACTCAGGAATGCACTGTTTTCTTTGGTCTCCAAAGTTTTTGCAAGATTAAAAGGGGATCTATTAAATACCAAAAAAAGGGGATCTATTTGGGATTGGGCCAAACAAGAAGATGATGAAATCAAAGAAAACATTAAAGAAGTAGAGATTCACTTTATGCTGGACAATTTTGTTCATTTTGTAATTTGGGTTTGTTTGGGTTAGATTTTCGTTTCTTTATTCAATTGGCTTGGTGTTTCAATCTGAGTTTGGTTTAGATACTGGTGGGTTTTGGGGAGTGGGGGAATGGTGTTTTTTTGGGGTTTTCTTTCTCTTATAAAAAGTTGTTTGTTTGGACTGTGTTGCAATCTTCTATTTAGGAGGGCTCTTGGCAGGGCTTATTCTTATCTTTTGGTGATTTTCGGTCACCTTTCTTGTATCTTTTTCTTTTTTATTTTATTACCAAGAAAAGTCTTTGAGGGTTCAAGACACTATACATGCTGATTAAGCCCTAATAAATAAGAAAATAATAAAAAAACTAATATTTTAACTCAAACTAAAGCAAGGATGTACCAAAAGCTTTTGCAAGGCTGTTTGCACACTATTCAGCTCTAAGAAAGGTCTTTGAAATTTGATGTTTTCTTTAATGACTTTAAGAGATCTCAACAAGTGTTATTTGTTGTGCCAGCAAGAGTCAACTCGAACAATTAGTTTATTAATGTTTATTTTAATATATAATCTCAAAAAGTTAAGAATATGAAAGTATCTAAGAGCATCCTTTAAAAAATATCTTAGCAGTTAAGTGGTTCATCCATGAGTGCCTTGTCGCCTAGGCATTGCCTTGACAACTATGACTAGAGCCAGTCTCTTCTTTCATATGATAGCAGGTTTTTTCTTGTATCATTAGAGGTAATAACATCAACATGCGCTCAGTGGGTGGTTTGATTCTTCATTTGATAGGTAGCATGCTTGTGTTTGATTAGTGAGTCACATTGGTGTTATCTAATTATCACTCTACATGTTAAGCTACATTGTTGTTATCTAATTATCACTCTACATTGACCCAAACATTTTTTCTGATAAATGAATAATGATTTTATTAATAAGAGAAGGAAGTGTACATTCACCGTACGAGGAGGCATGAGATGGTACCTCTCCTCAGAGATGGGAGCATAACCATACTTTTAATAGGGTAGAATCGTAAGGTAGCCCAAAACAATTCAACAATTGAGACCCCTTGTTTATCCAAGGAATCAGCCATAGCATTTGCCAATCTAAATTGACCCAGATGTTGCAATTGTTCAAATTGTCACTTGGCCCCTTTTTTCAGTCCAGTTTTCCTAAAACCCGCAAATCAGTCAAAAACTATTGACTTGGTTAGAGTCACATGTAGGCGGTTGGATTGTTGATCTGTTCGACCCTGGTCACCAGGTTAAGGGTTGCACAGTAAAATGTGTTGAAACTTCTGGAGGCCATAACTTTGCTCTCAGTTATTGGATTTAGGTGATCTTTCTTTTTTGATTTTAGGTAACTTTTTGAGATGTACGTGCTCCCAAGGGGCCAAAGGAGCTATGGCCACTATTTTTGCAAAAAAAAAAACCTTTTTTGCCCTCAATTTTCAATTTTTATCTTTTTATTTATTAAACAAAAAACTATAATAAAAATAGAAATTAGACGTAATATAGACTATGTATATACATATTACATATATTACATGTAGAATATAATTAACCATTTATTTACTTGATATAGTACATGTCTATACATACATATACACACACACATACATATACATGTATATCCATATGTATTGTGTTGACATGTAACTATTTGGCCTTTTTGATCCGAACGGTTGAACCACTGACCCACGATTGTTCATAGTTAGGTAGTTAACCCATGGTTTGCAATATCAACGATATTTGGTGAAATTTTCCCATTTTTCTATGGCAATAAGAAACCTTCTAGGAATCATTTTTCCCCTCAATATCCATGATATTTTGTTGATGCGTCAGTGGTATTTCAATTTTCATTAATAGACTATATATTTAAAGTTTGAAATTTTACAATATTATTTAAAACTTTTTGATATTTCATTAAATCATAATTTTTTTTTTAAAATTTTCCTAAAAGAACCAACGAGGAATTGGTGATTGGATAATTGGCTTACTATTTTGATGAATATAAGAACATAAGTGTATTCTCGATCAAATCAAAACATATAGTGACAATAAAGACAAAAGTCAAAATGGCAAGTAATTGAGGAAGAGAAGATGGCTAAAGACCAAAAGGGAGACAAAGAGAAAGACATCTATTATAGTCTCTTAGTTTTCTCTTATTTCATTAATACAATTCTTTGCTATGGTCTTTTGAGCCTTAAATTTGCAATTGTATTTTTTCTAATGATCTCTTGGAAGTTTATCAACTATTTCCATGTTTCTAGAAAACTTTCCTATTTTTTTTTTAGATTTTCCAAATATCCTAGAGAATTTAGTGAAATTTCTTTGACATTTCTCCAACTCTATATGGTGAAATGTCTATTGATATTGAATTTGCAAACCAAGGTATATCCTTGAGGTAGTCTCTTCTTTTTCATATGATAATGGGTTGTTCTTGTATCATTTGGTGTAACAGTAGTAAACCTGCCTTCACTAGGTTATTTGGATTTTCATTTGATTGATATTATCATGTATATGTTTTATTGGATGGATGCAAAAAATTGTTATGACTATGTGAATTCATCAAAAGAAAATCACCCAAGCATGCATTTACTGGTGATTTGGTTTATCCTTTTATTTATAGCATGCTTGCCTTTTTTCGGAGGCCATAAGAAAGTGTTATGACTGTGAACTCATTGCTCCACATATTACGCTACCTTTGTATTTCTTGATATTCCTAGTAAGGTAGTGGGTCCTAGAAAGTCTATTTTTTCATATGATAGCGGTTAGTTTATGTACCACTTGGGGTAGCAACAACGTGCATGCACTCATTGGGTGATTTGGTATTTCATTTGATTGATAGAATGCTTGTGTTTTATTGGTTGGTCACAAGAAAGTATTGTGATCATGTGAATACATTACAACACATATAGGCTATATTTTCATTTGTTAGTGGGTTGTTTTTGTGTCATTTTGGGTAGAAAAAAGCCATGTACTCACTGGGTGATTTGATTTTTCCTTTGATTGTTAGCATTTTTGTGTTTTATTTTAGGGTTGCAAGAAAGTGTTGTGTAACCATGTGAGCTCATCGAAACATGCACTTATATGTGATTTGGTTTTTCATTTGATTGATAGCATGGTTGTGCTTTATTGGAGGGTTGCGTGAAAGTGTCATGGTTGTTTAAACTAATTGCTGAATATGTTAGGCTACCTTGGTATTTCTAAATTGCCATAGTAAGGTAGTAGACCCTAGAGGCAATCTCTATTTCTTCAAATGTTAGTAGGTTGTTATAGTGTCCCTGGATAATTTGGTTTTTCATTTGATTAATAGCATGTTTATGTTTTACTAGTGTTGTGAACATGTGAACACATCGAAACCAAATCACCTAGGCAAGCACTTATTAGGTGATTTGATTTTTCATTTTGTTGATTGCATGTTGTGTTTTATTGGAAATATCAAAAGAAAGTATTATGACCATGTGAACTCGTTGCTCCATGTGTTAATCTATCTTTGTATTTCTTGATTGTGAAAGTGAGTAGACCCTAGAGGCATAGTTTTCAAGGGAAAAAACTTGGCTGTGGGGGCCAACAGCCTATGCTGTTGAAAACATTCTTGGGAATTCCACGTTACCATGAGAGTGGGGTAAATTAGTAATTGCCCCCTATTTTCTTTTGACCAGAAAGATGGACATGGGTGTGAATTGGTGAATGTGTCCAGCCCAAAAACACTCAACAGCATAGGCTGTTTACCCCCAACAGCCAAAGTTATCCTGTTTTCAAGGTGTTGAGGCGAGGCTAGGTGATGTCAATTAAGCAAGGTGACCCTTCATGAGTGCCTTATTGCCTAGTGCCTTGACAATTATGATCATCTATTCCTATTTATCAAGTTTCTCTTTTTCACTTCCTTGAGTTTTCCCTGTGGTTTGCCTTTCATTTTCCCTTTCTTCCCCTCGTAACCTTCTATGCTTGGTCCAACTTTTACCTGATTCCTGTTTTATGAAATGGAGCAGACCTCTCATGCCTAAATGATACAGAAGATGATAGATCATGGCTGTTGTCTACTAATGCCCAACTAGCCCCTTCTTGACATTGTTACTTAAGGTTATTATTATTTTGCTCCAAGGGGCTACACAACTGCCAGGGGGGGGTAGCCCATCCTCCAAACCCATAACTCCCCCAATCCACGTGCAGATGGGATTTGATCCCAAGTCTCCGCTACAACCAGCCGGTTGGCACTTTGTGATGTTGTTACTTAAGTTGCCATGTGACTTCTTGCCTACAAACACATACTCAAAGACATCCACCCTTCTAACATTTGCATCGTTCCCACTTGCATCTAATTTTCTTGAAAAGTTCAGTATTCTATCTCTTTTAATAAAAGATCTTGTTTCCAATTGTCTTCCACATGGCAGCACTCTGGCAAGAAACCTTTGGATTTCCTGCCTCTTCTGCTTCCTAAGAAAGAAAGTTGTAAGGGAATTTGAAATTATCAAAAGATTGAATTGCATGTGGCAATGAGCTAGCCACGTCATCAACTTCCTCCTTGAGACGTTCCCTCCACATGTACAATTCTGCTGTTGGCAGTGCGCAAACTCTGAACACCCATTGTGCAGAACATCTACCACTCGTGGAATCCTCTCCATTCTGTCTCCTACCACTCCAGTCACTATAAACCTCAGATTTTTTAGATGGGTCGAATGGTCCTTAGTTTCCTTTCTTTTATTTAGTTATGCTTATGTTTTATATTTGATATTAGTGTGCCTTCATGTAATTGTATTTGTATTGGGCCTTCTTTCTTTTTATTCTTATTGTTTTTGTGTTGGCCGCCCTACTAAGGGCATTCATGTAATTGTATTCACATAACAATTAGAATTATAAAAGATCATTGTGGGGAACCATAGAGAGGTTTGATTGACTCTCTTCTTTCTTCACTTGTCTTCCTTTCTCTGCTTCTTTTTCTCTCTTCATCTACTTCCATCTTCCTTTCTTTTCTACTTTATTTTTGGATTTATACAGGTCAGATTTACAACTTGGTATCAGAGCAAGGTTCTCATCTTCCACTTTTTTCTCTTCTTTAGTTTCATACACAGGTTGTATGGAGAGCTGATTGGTTGACTGATTAACAAATCATTCAGCCCATTTAGAGGAATTTTTTGGAGAAGACTGTGGTGCTTGTTTGAGGCCTGAGGCAGGTAATTGGAGAGTTTCATGAAAGTCCCAATTAATTGGAGGGCTTTTGGATTAAGGGGTATAAAGGGTGTTTGGAAGTGGCACTTGGGGATAGAATAGAACCTTTTTGATTATATTTAAGATTGATCCAAGTTGGAGAGGATTTTGATTAACTCCCTTTCTCCCAGGTTGTTGGGTTCTATGAAATCCCTGTTTTGGATGATTAAAAAAGAAGTTTTGGCCTTAGGGCAGTGAATCTTGACTAGACTAGTAACACTTTATTTCTATTTTTGCTTGTTTCCATTTGGCTAATGGAGCAAACTAGAGGTGAGATGAAACAACCTACATACTTTGGGTTTGGGTCTAGAGGGTCTGTGGAGACTTTGTTGGGGGTAGTAACCTTAGTAAAGTTAGATGGGACTAATTTTTTGGCATGGTCTCAGTCAATTATGATCCATGCCGTTAATGGGTCTACAGGGACTGTTAATGGGTGCTTTTGGGGAATATTCTATCTTTTCTTCTTGTAAATATGTGACATATAGGGACTTATTGTGTGGCTATGAATGTCAACCAGTGATATCACCGTTGATCAAATAACCTGAATACCACCATCCTAATGCTTCTGTGTTTCTGATCTCATATTTTAAAGCAGCGAGTCATAATTTTGAACATTGAATTGAACTGGAAAATGTTATAGTGGTGTTTGTTTTTTACCTCTCTCTCTCTCTCTCTCTCTCTCTCTCTCTCTCTCTCTCTTTCCAGTTAGTGTCTAATTTGAAATTTCAGTTAATGGTTTGGGCTGAGCAGGCTGTTTTTGTTTCAGGTTGCTCATACACAGGTAGAGCAGGCAAGCAATATGAGGCAGAGGATCACTGCAGCCCTGGTTCCTGGACCAAGCCCTACTACAACTGCAGTCTCAAAAGCTGAGACAGAAAATGTGGTAGAACCTAACTCACTACCAGTTCAACCACCAAATGCCACCCCTCCGCCTTCTCTTCCCCAACCTTTGACTTCCTTTGCACCATCCAGACCTACAGAAGAAGATCATAAGAAAGCTGCTGCAGCTGTTGCTGCCAAACTTGCTGCCTCTACATCCTCTGCACAGATGCTTTCGTCTGTGCTGTCATCCCTGGCTGCAGAAGAAGCTGCCTCCATGAATGGTGGCTCAAAATCTGGTGGTTTCACAGCAAATTTACCCATCTTCTCCCCAGAAAAACGGCCCAAACTTGAAAAACCAATGACAGTTTCCGATATGGGTAATACAACGTACTTTGGACATGTTCAACAGCAACCATTGACCAATGCCCCTGTCACACCTACTCAGACCACAACTACAAGTGTGCAACCCATTTCCCAGGCTAATCAGATAATGCCACCATTTCCACCACCTCCACCGCCTCTACCACCACCACCCCCACCAGCACATCAGTATGTACAATCCACTGGTGTGATGGTTGGAGTGATGCCATATGGGTATAATGCTAGTAGCCTACCTCCTCCACCTCCACTACCCACACACGTGGTAATGGGACTAGCAAGGCCTGGCACTCAGACACAGCAGCAGCAACAACAACAGCAACAGCAGCAGCAGCAGCAGCAGCTGCAGGCAGCCAGTGGAGGATATTTTCAACCACCAGGTATTGGGTTTTATGGGCAAAGCCATCAACCAACAACACCACCATTACCTCGGCAATAATTTCCCATTGGCATCATCCCTGAACACAATTTGTCTTGTTTGTATAGTAGTAGGTCTTCTGTAACTTAATTTTCTCTCCCTGGATTGGAAAAGCAATTGTTAAGTCAAAAGCAGACAGAGACCTGGATTTGAAGTCTCTGAGTATGAGATGAGATATTGGACTAACAGGGGTTGTCCGAAAATACTTTTACTGCCAAAATTAGAATGCTGGTTATTTACCTTAGCCAAATCAATGTCTTGTACTTTAGTACCGCCATCTTTATTATAACGGATCTCTTGCAGAGAACGCTATTTAACCATCCTTCTACGCATACGTGGAACTATTCTTGGATGAAAGGAAGTAGCAGTGTAGCACGATGGATAGGCGGGACAATTAGATTGGTCATTGGCGTGGGAAAACAGCTCTGAACTATCTTTGCTGCTTTTGAAGGGATAGTTAATCCATTTTTCAGATGATACACTTTGTTTTAATGCAGCCAAAGTGTATCTGTCCTTGTAATTTCTTCCAAGGGGATCTGGGAATGCTGTTTTTGCCATTTTCACAGGCCTGGTTGTTTGGAAATGTTGGTTTATTTTCCACCAACCTAGTGCATGGAAATGGGATGCCGTGTTATGCCTCAAAGAGGACTGGAAGTGCCAGAAGCTAGAAGCTATGTTTTATGGGCTGGACCGGATGGTCGAACCTGTTGGACCATCACCCCATCGTTGTTAACCGACATTTTCTTTGATCAAAGACTGCACCAGTGAGGAGCTTGGTGCAACGCGAGTAAAAGACTCAAACAATACCCTAAGAAATCATGGTCTGAAGTAAAAAATGATTCAAATCCAAGTACTTTAATTTGTGATAAAACACAACATGACATGGTTCAAGTTCTAAGGACTTGCAATTTATGGTTAATTATGAGATGAGTGGAACCAACATAATTTCAATAATTCCAGAGATTTTGGGCATCCATTTATCCAAGCATTTTGAATAAATAAATAGACATCTAATAAGTAAATGTGTTGTTAATATTGACCAATAGTCAAGTTTTCTGCACGAAATCATAATCATTTCATCCAGTGTATCTGATTGAATCCTATTAATTAAATACCTTTCTCTAGAAGTCTAGAACAAACAAAAGCAATAATTTCACTTCCCACTTATAAATAATTAATGAAAACTATCATGGGCTTGAAGAAGAGGGGTCGAGACGTCCAGCCATGGTTAACTGATCAAAGCCTGAAACCAGCTACTAGCACAGGTCTTGGCCCAACCCGTGCACACCTTACCAGCTGATCCAAACATGAACTAGAGCTGGGCATTGGCTTTGGTTGAGCATAAAATACAAAATAAAAAAAAAAAGAAATATAGTGTTGCTCACTTGTTTGCATCAAGTGCTAGTAGCAGAATGAAGTAGCTTGTAGTAGCTGCAGCAATGACCCCACGTTCCATTAGACTTTTGGTGGTTTAGGTTTTGGATCCACAAGCTCTACAACTGCCAATGCAATTCGGCAAAGCTTCGCAAAGTCTTGATTCCTGGTTGTTACATATTGTTGGCACATCAGTGGGCTGGCCCCTTGGCAAACCACAGAGGCTTGTTTGGCCATAGACATATACTCCCTCAACCGCCAATAGGTCTTGGACTTCAACTCTTAAATGGATCCTTGGAAGTAATAGATGCTAGCACTGTACTGACCACAGCAGGTACTCAGACACTGCTTGGTTCCATTGTTAGAAAATTTGTGCCAGAGATTATCTACATAGGTTCTGGTGTTGTTGGCCATGACAATCCCTTGGTCGATGAAGATCTCGAGAATGCCTTCCAGACTTGATTTCAAGTTGTCGTGAGGATCAGATTCGAGCAGTGACACGCAGAGACTGTAGTTGCCGGTCTTCTTGCAGGTGGAATGAATCAAGTTCTCGTCGCCAGTTACTGCAGACAGTTGAGTGAATTCACATATTACAAAGGCGACCAGACTCGAGGAAAGCAAAAGGAAGGTGAGTCTGAGACATGGATTTTTAGGCTAGAAGGAAAGGTGGGTGGATGGGTTTGGTTGTGTGTGGATTGTGGAGAAGTGTTGACGTTCAGAGTCTATATATAGATGTAGAGACAACCCAGCAGGACTGATGTAGAGAAGATTCTCTTTCTATTTTGAGTGAAGAAATGAAATGGAAAAAGGAAGGGAACAACTATGATTTCTAATGCAATTCAAATCTAAAGAAGAAAAGAAATCTTGTCAAGCTATTAGAGGTATGCTATGGCTCGTCAAGGAACACAGTGATGATGTATTCCTAAATTAAACAAATGTTGTTTAGTGAGACTGTTAAGTATTAAGGGGAGTTCTTTTGTATCCTAAGATTGAAATCTAGTAATACACATATCCTGCCTGTTCATAACACTTCCATTGAGGCCATCTTTTTCCAGCCAAGGACAATTGTCTCATTTAGGGGAAGAAGCCCTATTAGACTTCAAGTCCTCATTGTTTCACATGGCTTCCTCCATCTAAGTTAGCCACCAATGGCCACCATTCTGACCTCTTCTATCTTCTTCCGCCTCCTATATTCTAATATCATTAGCAGTCGGTATTAGTAGATCCTCTTTTTCCTCCCCTCTCCTTCTTTCTTCCCTTCTTCTTCTTCTTCCAAATCTCTGCCTAGCCTACAATGCCTAGAATCTGCCCTAAATACTAGCCTAGAATCTCTGCCCGATTTTGATCTTGACGTTGAACCGAAAAGACCCTAAATACTATCAAACATGCATGTTCTTAGCATGAGACAATTTTAGATGATGACGTGTTCAAATTTTTCTACAACTCTTTTATATTTCTATGTGTATAAAAACAATTTTTATTCATCACACTTATACAAATTTTTGTTTTTATGTTTTATCTTTTTATTTTTATTATTTATTTATGATATCAAGGGTTGACACATTCAACCCAAAAGGTTAAACTTTGGACCCGGACCCTACCACCAAATAGGAAAACTTCATTTTTGAGTTGGTTTTAAGTTTTGCATTCCATTTCCATTATTAATAAAAATGATTCTTGTTAAATATACTTACTTTTCTTTAGTGTGCTTAATATAATATATTAGAGATGTCTACAATGTTTTGTATATTTTGTGTTTTATCATTTTAAAATTTATTACTTAATTATGACCTTAAGGCTTAACACATTTAACCTAAAAGGTTGAATTGTTTACCTGCCACCAAACAAGAAATTATTTCATTTTTTGTGTTGGTTTTAAATTTTGTATTTAATTTCCATTATCAATAAAAGACTACTTCTTGTTTCTCACACTATTTTCTTTAATAAGATTAATATATATATATATATATATATATACTCAAAATTTTCTATAATTTTTAATATTGCATTTCTCTATTTTATAATTTTATATTTAATGTGATGTCATTGATTTATCCATTTGACCTAGATGGTTGAATTGCATAGCCGCCACTTGGAAGGAAGAATGGTTCCATTTTTGGTTTGGTTTATGAAACATGGGTTTTATATTGTCAAATTAGAGGTGTAAAGTGGGTTGTGTCGTGCTGGACCGCAGGCCGTCATGGGCTGTGCCACCCTCCTAGGTGAAAAATTTGGGGGTTAGCCCGGCATGGCCCATGACCCAAGCCCGTGCGGGCCCGTGCTGTGCCACCGGACGGGCTGGTCCGTGGGCCGATCCTTGGGCTAGGTCGGGCGATGCATCGAGCCAAAGCTATTTATTTAAAAAAAATTTATAAAAAACTTAAAATTTTAATTTTATATGAATTTTGTGTATAAAATTGCTTATATATACAATAATTAAATAAATTAGTATAATAAAATTAAAAAATATTTATTTTATTAATATATTATTATATAATTATAATTTATATAATATTATATATATATAAAATATATACAAATAATATATATGTGTCGTGTCGTGCTGGCCCATGGACCTAAAACCCTAGCCCAGCATGGCCCGCATGAATGTGCCGGACCTAGTACGGCCCATGGACCATTGTGCCGGGCCATGCCGAGCTGGTCCAAGTTCGTGTCGGGCCGCGGGCGGCACAACTTGATTTACACCTTTATGTTAAATGTATTGGGTACAACTCTAAATAGTTGAATTTATTGGTGATAAAAAAATCTTAAATATAGGATTCAATGAATAACAAAGGGAGTTAATACCTTAAAATATAAGGATTTGACGATGATACTCAAAAGACATGAGACCAGAAAAACTTATAGCCAAACAATATATATGTTATGTTTCATGTGCTTAAAAGTTATTCTTATTTATCACACTTATTTTTGTTTAATATGGTGAATATGTAATATTAGAGATGTATTCAAGTATTTTCTACAAAATTTCTTTATTTTTTGTGTGTTTATCATTTTTTTATTTTTATTATTTAATTTTGACATCAATGATTAACACATTAAAGGTTAATACATTTTCCCTGAAAAATAGAAGAACCATCACCATATATGAAACAAAAATCAATTTTGAGCTAATTTTAAATTTTGTATTTTATTTCTGTCATCAATGATATCACTCTTATTTTTCTTTAATATGATTGATACAAAACATTAGAATAACCTATATTAAATATAGGGTACTATTCATGAGGCTGGGCTGGGTGGATACAATTTCTTGTGATCTTGGATTGAATTGGGTCAATTTCTTGGATTCAAATATGGCATATCATTAAAATTATACTTGATATTTGAATTTGAGCCAATCAGATCTGGATCCTTGTCATTTATAGGCCTGCAGTTGGTTCAGATTTAATCCAATCTAATTTCAAATCCAATTCATTTAAGCAATGTTTGGTTTGAAGGAAAAGGTAGGGAAAGGAAAGGAAAGATAAGAAAATCTTTACAAACCTTGTATAAATTTTGATACCTTTCCCTCCCTTTCCCTACCTTTTCCTTCAATCCAAACATAGCCTTCACCTTAAGTTGGATTCAATCATCCGTCTAACCATAATCCGCCCGATTGTACACATACATACATAAAAGACAAATTTTTGGTATTAAAATTCTTTAGAATTAAGTGGTGGTTTTGTTTTCAATTTGTGGTATATATTTGTTGTTTCATATATAACTTTGTAAATTTATGTTAATTTTATAGAGATTTATTAATATTCCAATTAAAATAGATTCGAGTTGGATTTCCTCATACGTAAAACAGATATGTGATCAGTTTGCTGTAAGGCTCAATTTGGAAAGAATACAAATACACATATTAACAGT